CCCTGGTCTGCAGATCACAAATTGAAAATCACTGGTTTAATACCACATTTTGGTATTTCCTTCACATCTCTTAGCATGTTATTCGTATTGGGAATCACGGTGCAACCAAAAGAAAGAAGAAACAATGAAGAAATAAGTTTCTATTTTATCTTAAGCTCCTAGGTCCCAATATTTACTGTCAAAGAAATTGCTAAAGAGATTGAAACAAAAATTATCAACATTAGGTGTTATATTTAACCCTTCATATAAATGAGAAAACATATTTAAATAAGAAAATTTCTGGTTAAGAGATTCTTGTTCTGTCTAGTTATCATCCTCCATCAACTTACCTTGTACTTTGTGCTTCAAGTTACTCTGTCAAGTTGACCTTGTAGTTCAGTGATCATACAAAATTGAGGTTGGTCAGGAGTGTTTGTGTGAACATAATTATTTAAAGTGTCATTGTTCTCAGACTGTAAAAGACAACAAAATGTCCTATTACTGTTTCCATTTATTTGGTACTCTTTAACAAAAAGAGTACTTACCTCTACCTAAAATCTTGTATAAGTGCAGGGAAGAGAATGTTTAGAAGTCACATAGGTATGGATTTCTCATGAGGGGGCTTTGCTGATCTCTGTCAGAAAGTCTGTGTTCATTTACAAAAGGAAGCCAGGGACCTTCATGGTCCTGCACAGTGCAGTGGGCAAAGGAGAAGAGTTGTGACTGGAATTAGTGCTCCTTTTGCTGGTTGGAAACTGTAACTGTTTAAATGAGAGCTACTTAATTCCTATTTCACATCAATTATTAAAGCATAGGTGATCGCCTAATTAAAAAAAAGTCAGTATCTGCTAATTTATGAACTCATTTATGAACTTCTACTCATCAACTTCATTCCATTATCTATTAACGTTTTCCCTTTGTTGGTTAGTTTCAAATCTCAAACATACTCTTCCCTTGTTGCCTAGGAAATTATCACTCATGGCAGAGCTCGAAGCTTCTTTTATCTGCCTTTTTTTGGAGAGTTGTCCTTTATATATGTCTTCATTGCAGGGGAAGATACATTTGGCAGACCAGAAATAATGCAGTTACTGTGTGCCTACAGTGCAGAGGCTGATACACAGAGGCCTTAAAATGATTAAATTTACACTTCTTTTTATGAAGTAACATTCAAAGAAAAGGAAAAGAAATTTGAAAACTACATTAGCATAACATTATAGAATCATTTTAAATGTGAACATTACGTGGTAAGTACTGTGGAAAGTCCTGTCATTAAAATCAATAAAGTCACATAGGTAATCTCTGAATTAAGACAGAAGTCATAGCATTTTGAGGCTTTAGTGCAGCTGTGTGTACAAGATGACTCATTCTCAACTGGGGCTTCCGGATGCTCCTGTGAGTTCAACAGTGGTGTGAAATTACTCTCCAAACAGAAAGAAGTGAAGATGCATTCTTTTAGCCTTACCCAATGATCATGTAATTTCAGCTTCCTTTTTTTCTGAATTATTGAATCATAGCAAATAGGACATTTTGAAATATAGGAACAAAATTTTCTCATACAAATGACTGACCTCCTAAAATAAAGTGCACCTGCTTATATAGAAATTCATATGTATTCAAGCTCTGATATATTCGTTGGTTTTACTGAAATGCTGATATTGAATGGAAACAAATGCTCACACAAGTCTTTCCTGTTCAGAAATGTCATGGAGTTATTTCAGGAGGAATGTGTTTTCTTTGTTTCAGATCATACAAAGGTAGCCACGTCTCTGTTTCACTACTGGATTACAGATATCCTTCCTGTGAAGAACAGGAAATAAAACCTTGCCTGCATCTGTATGCACAGGGTTAAAATTTAATATACAAACTCATAAACAGCTAGCAATTGTTCAGGAAGAGCAGTATCAATACACACTCTACAACTTCAGGTAAATGGATTTTTTATTGTGTTACAAACTTCAGAAGACAGTAAACAAGGTAAAACAACATGTGACTTTTTGTGTTTGGTTGGTCAGGAATATCCATATGCTGTGTGACCTGAGTCTTCAGCTGGGTTACTATGTACATTTCTCCTTAGGATAAGGGACTTAACTGGAATGATAAAGTCTGTATCAGGTATTTTGTTTAAGAACAATAGTATTTCCTTTTTTTGTTTGTAAATTTATCATTCCTTTCTGGAAATTATATTTCTTGACTTTTTTGTATATCTACTTGCTTGGAAAACAAAACTATATTTTTTATATTTAAATCTAATCAACAACACATCGTGAGGAACATATTTTTGCTGAATAAACTGCTAAATTGTGGAAATAGATGTATTTCTACATGTGGGTCATGTAGGTACTGTTTGGAGTTATGAAGAAACTTGGATGGCATTTTCAGAACTGTTCCATGGCTAAGCCTGTTACAATCTGACAGGCCTCACTGACTGCAGAGTTATGGGACTGGGTTCTCTCACTGATTACTGTGTAATCTGTCTACTACTATGTAGTCTTTCTGCAGCTAAATTTATCCGTGTGTAGATAATACAGTAAATAATATCCATGGTTGTAAAATGTTTTGGAATCATGAATTAAAAAATGCTTTGTAAGTAAGAGCTTTCAGCCGAGTCGTTCATCTGGTCTTCTATCTTGGTGTGTTAGCTTCTTCATCAGTAAGATAGGGGCAACGTATTTATCTCCTCCAACATGTGCTTGGAGATACACTACTGATAAAACTATATAAACATTGCATGGTTTTTTGCTTTGTTTTTTATTTTTTATTGTGTTGCCTGATATATCCTGATGTAAGGCATTGGTTTAGGGATGCTCAAGAATTTCTAATAAAAATACAATCATATCTCTTTCTCATTTATTGAAGAAGTTAAAAGGGATTCAATAGCACACCAAAGGATTGCAGGTGCAGAAAAACTAGTCTTGTTGCTATGGCAGCTGTGTGGAGCTCTGAAGAACCTGAGTTTGGTCTGTATCTGTTAGGAAAGATGTGTAAACCAAACATTGCAGAGGGATGCTCTCTGCTTTAATGCTCCTTAATTGCTAACACATAGGCACTGTACTGTAGATGTGACTTTTCACTGAGATCCTGTGTGCCTCAGTCCCACATCTGGAGAAAGAAGAAAATATCACTTTGATGTGAAGCACCTAGATACTCTCCTAGAGCACCTAGACCCATGGGAAATTAATAACTTCATCCTCAGATTAAGGTTTGAATGTCACACAATAAATGAGGCCTAGGAACTGCAAAAAAGGGTACACAGTAACTCATTGGGTAAACATCATCTGTCCTAAACAGTGAATATGAAAAAAATAAATGAGGTCACATAATTAAAGGCAGAATTTTGAAACACAAGTACAAACCAGGTCAAATAAGGACCACAAAAACCACTGTAGTGCCTGCATTTCCTGATAATCGAGTGACTGTGCTGAGGGATGTTATAAGGCTGCTGCTTTGAGTGGACCCCAGGACCTGTCAATTCCTTCTCCTTGTCCTCTGGATCCCAGGCTGGTGCACCTGGAGATCTGGATGTCTCCCCCACACGCCAGTGTAGGTGAGTGCAGCTTTCATGTTCCCAGGTTCAAACGGTAGTGATGCTTAGCACGGATCTTGGGGACACACACAACACTCACGTGGATGACTACACAGGGCTTTGATGCCTTGAATACCAGCACAGGACCCCAGTCTGTCTCATATCCCTGCCTGGATCCTGGCCCCTCTTAACTCTATGGTTCTCCTACTCACCAGCTACTCCAGCCTGACACGTTTACACACTCATAAGCACTCATGCACTCATGTCACACCTTTGTTTATTGCTTTAATTTCTCTTCTTTAGTATTTCCTTTCAGTGCTTGGCCATTTCTCATAAACACAGAATGGTTTGAGTTAGAAGGGACCATAAAGATCATCAAGCTCTAACCCCTCTGCCATGGGCGGGAACACCTTCCACTAGACCACGTTGCTCAGTATTAAAGGGATTTTTAAAATACCACTGAATTCTAAATAACTGCATATAGAGGAGCATATTTTGGTATCTTTGCCAAACAGAAATATTTTCACAGAATCACAGCATGGGTAATGTTAGAAGGGACCACAGTGAGGTCATCTGGTCCAACCTCCCTGCTCAAGCAGGGTAAAATTTTGTATTATCCCAGAATGTGAGTAAAATTTCTAGGTCAAAAATGTACTTTGCTTGAATCAGGTAATAATGGAAAGAAGATTACTTTCAGTCTCTCTTTTTTCCCTTTGCTTTTACCACTGTAAGAGCTTTATATTCTGTGTGAAAATCAGCTGGCCCCAGCAAAGCAAGCCTGGGAACAATTTCAGAGCATAGCGAGTTAGTTGGTGATATCTGATGTCTTTGTAAATGACCTGTGATAGGAGCTGAAGCTTACACTTATCAAACCTGCCACTATTGCACTAACAGGGATTATGAGGAGTAGAGGATAAAGTATGTTGAAGAGTTTAGAAAATTGGACCAAATCCAAGCAGATAAATTGTAGACTGTAATTGTAGATAAATGCAATTGCATAAGAGTGTATTTGTTTCTGAAACAAATGTGCCAGACAACAGTGTGCTGATTTGCAACATGCATAAGGACACTTAAGAGCAATACACAAAAGAACAGAGCTGAAGATCTAGTTTAATAGTAAAAGAATGGACATTACTTAAAGTAAATTAGGCAGTGTACTATAAACAGCAGGGGTTCCATGTTTAATGTCCTATTTGCAGTCAAAAAAGATTTCATACATCAGGATTTTAATACCTGGTCACTTTTCTGTACTGCTTCCGTAAAATAAATGGTGCTCAATCTTCCTACAGCTTTTCAGGTTTATTTGAGTAGTGGTGTAACCAACACGGCTGGGATATGAAAATTGAAATATTTAAATTAATATCCACCAGTGAATACTGTGGCCTGCCTTTCACTATACAAGGCTCCTTCAACATAGCAATGAAACATTTATCCTTTTGGATTTTCATGCCAAACTTATAAATGGCAAAGGAGATGGCCTTGAATTTTTGCTTCTTCAGCATCATTCAGTTTAATGAACGTACAGCATCATGGAATTTCTGAGGCATGGAAGAGTTTTTTTAAGTGGACTTTGCATCAGAAAACTTCAGACTGTTATCAGCATATTTCAAACTTCTGGGAAGACACCTTTAAAATTTTGGTTTTAAAACCTACATGGGCTCCAAGAGCAGGAAGAATTTAAGGATCAACTGGAAAGTAACCTGCATGTGTTTTCAAGAGTAAACTTTGTCATTTGCATAATTGAGCACTGCACAGTAAGTAAGGAGCAGCAGCACAGTGAGAGAGAAATCGGGCTCTGAGTAGGTGGTGGTCCTTTACCAGTGTCCAAAGAAGGCCATGGAGGCTGAAGTAATTTGAGGCATCTGTGGTAGTGAATAGCTAGTCACTACGCTTGTATGCAAGGGTATGAGTTCAGAGCCATTATCTCTATATATAGGTACATGTTTTATTCTTAAAATTGCCTGTAAGACCTTAATTTTTCTCTTTTGTGGATATGTAATGTGGGAATCAATCTCTAATGTTACAGATTTTTACTGCTGTGTAAGTGGTGCAATATTTTATATAGCACTTTACAATCATGTAGAGTTATAAAGTCCTTAATACGATTTCTATGACAGCTGGGCTCTCTCCTGCACCACTGCTCAGTAGGCTGAATCTCTGAAATGGCAGCATAAAGGCAGAAGATTTTTAAGCTGTCTTTGACCAAAGGAACCATATGTCGTCCAGTAATATCAGGTATATCATAAAACCAGTCCACAGATGAAGTGTGGAAAGTGGTGTGTGTTGTACGTGTACAGTATGCTACACATTAAGTATAATAACAAAGAGTGGAAATGACAGCAAACTGTATGATTGGGAAAATGTATTATATTTAATATTTAGGGAAACCTCAGGTTATAGCTATGCAGACTTCATTAATTGCTTCGGCCCTAGATTGCACCTAAGGAGGGCTGCATTGCACGTGTTTATGCAGCTAATTAAGCTTCACTGTTTACTACTTTATCCTCTGCATTGCATATAAATAAACTTTTGTTTATTGTTTTCAGCTGTTAGATAGATATATGCTGAACTGAGGGGACAAGGGGACATATGTATAAAGAAAAAGCAGAAATTTACAGATGCTGTATTTTTTTCCCTTCTATAAGGATATAGGAAAAAGCTGTATATTCTGTGATTATTTGAAAACAGTGCATGTGCACCACAGTCACTGAAGGTCAAATATATAGCTTTAATAAGGATGTTCTCCAAGTCGAATGCCTTACTTTGTAGAATTAATAGTCTGTTGTCATTTTAATGTACTGCATACTCTTGTAAAATGTGTAAGCAAGCTGTAGTTCTCTTTTACGTTATTACTGCAAGGTAACATCCTGGTTTAGGATTCATAATGAAAAAAAAAAGTGTCATCTAAGATTGAAGAGGACTGCACGAAGAGAAGGAACAAATCTGTGGTTCAATACCTTCTTTTCTTTTGCATCAACTCTAGGGTGCTATAGGTTGCATCAAGTAGAGGCTGCTTCTCTTCATTTTCAAGATCTTTGCCAGTCTTCTCAGTCCCTCATTGAGCACACAGGTCATTCCTCCATCCCTGTCAGCCTCTGGTATTAGCTTCCCTCACCCATTTCCTATACTTTCAAGTTTACACATTTGTGCTTTTTCCCCATGATGCCTTCCACAGCTCTCTACAGAACAGACTTTCTACTGTCTTCCTTTCCTTCTTTAAAGCTCTCCTTTATTGTGATGCTGCCCAAAAGCTTGCCAGCATGCTAGGACCACTGCCTACTGTGCTGACTAATGTTGCCTTATTGTCTGTGTACTCCCACATCAATCTGCCTGTTTTCTCCCTGTTTTCTCCTTTCCTAAGAGAGTATAAGTTTCTTGCAGGATTTGCCCTGCTGCACAGCAGCCAGCACAACAAGTTCCTATTACATCTGAGGTGACAGTCTGCTGGGGAAATGAAATAGGCTTAACTACAATTGAGACCATGCTTGAACATGTAGGAAAGGCTGCTGATAGTCTAAAATAGCTTCATAATTTTACACTGCACACATGATCAGTCTGGTAAAACAGGGACTTGGTTCTCCCTAGCAGGCAGTGTTCTTTGGAGGCAGTGTTCTTCTGCAGGTTGCTAAGGAGAGCTTGGAGGCATGCAGGGTGGAATTCATTTCTCTTGACTTCATATGTCTACAGTGTTAATGTTTCCATCTGAGCTGCCTATCCTAAAGAACTTTCTGATCACTGGGATTAAATAGATACTTGTATGGGGCAATATAACTGATTGCTACTGGACATCTATTTTAGAATAGGAACAATGGTACCAATGGGAGCGCTTAGATCTTTGTGTTGACTGTTATGGGAGCATAAACACATAAGTCAGATGGAAACATCTGCATTGCAGGCATCTGGATCCTGTTAAAAAAAAAAAAAAGAATAAAAAAGATGATTTGCTGCATCTGAGAAAAGGACAGGAATGTGCATGTTGCATGACCAGAACGTCACCTACTCTTGTTTCTGGTCTGGCAGTGACAAGCTCCTTCAGCCTGAACAGGGCTGTGACCCCCTCTCCTTACTGCTTTCATGTCTCCTCTTGGGAAGTGACTGCCTGGGAGTGATAAAAGGGAGAAGAAGAAGAGTGAGGAGCTGTTGTACAGCTGTGCCTGGAACTCACATAAAACAAACTGAGGAGATGCTTCTCCTTCTCTTCCTCATGTTCCCTTCATGTGATCATGCACAAACCAGCCTCCACTACTTCTCAGGTAGACTCAGTAAAAGCTTGCTGTGTGATTTATTCCTCCTCCCAGTGACAATAATCAAGTGGAAGTGAATGTAAATGCACAAAGAAGTAACCATTGCTAGGAATATCAAACTGATCAGCTATTACCTGTATTCTGGAGAGGGAATCAATAACAAATATATTTTTTTCAGAATCACAGGACTAATCACTGAACTCTGTAGGCATAATGATAGCTGTTTGATCTCTGTCTGGCATGTGGGAACTTAAAATGAAGGTCATGTTCCAATCTGATTGGAATTCAGGGAAAGCAACTTGGCTTATTACAATGACTGTAGTGCTGGATTCTATTTACATTGGTAAACAGTTTAAAATACCTGACATGTTATTCAATTAAATCTGTGATTGCAAACTGACAGACCAAAGTTCATTGATTTTTTCCAACCACATTAAGCTAAGTACATGGCACAGTGTTTTATTAGCCTGTCTGCTTAACCCTTTCACCTTAATTCAATTACCGAGAATAAAATTAATGTGTAAAATATTAAATAACTCTAAATTTCTAAATTAGAAGACATTTCAAGAATATATTCATCTTGATAGTTTCTGGCATATATTTATTACTGTATGATTTACAATCTGCTACAGATCACATTGTTATTCAGATGGCAAAAGTCAGAAAATTTTTTCTCTATACTCATTCAGTAAATTGATAGATTCATAAAGGGTAAGACTGAAAAGGACATGAGATTATCTTCTCTGACCCCATCTAGATCCCTGGTCATAAATTTTCCCTTTACTTCAGGGCGAAGACCAGTCTGACAGAAGCACAGTTTGTGATTTTGCTAAAACAAGTCATCTGCAGAGACAGGCAGGCTTGATTTAAAGAAATCAAAAAATGAAGACTTAGCCCCTTCTCTAATAATTTATTCCAGTACTCAATCACTCACGCTTAAAATCATGTGCCTTATTTTAAATTTGAATTTGTCGAGGTTTAACTTTCAGACATTAGTTCTTGGTATGCTTTTCTTCACTAGATTAAGTAGTCCCTCACTACCCACTGTTCTCTGTCTGTAAAAGTTTTTGAACACTGTAATCAAGCTACAAGGCAACCTTTTTGCTCCCCTAATATTATCTCTTTAAATTATTTTATTTAAGGTATTTTCTACAGCCTTCAACTTGGTTTTGTGGCTCTCTCATACATTTTCTCCATTTTTTCCCACCATTTAGAAAACAAGTGTGGTAGAACTGAGCACAGAACTTCATTTAAAATCTCAGCAGTGCCAACTTTCATACTCACTGTTTCATTGGTTTTGGATCAACTTCTTGCCATAGTATTGTATAGGAAGTCCATGTTGAATTATTTTTCATAGTAGACAAGTACACTTGAAATTCATGGCTTTCCAGGATTTAGTCCTTGGTTCCATACTTCGTGTTCATAAATGTCTGTCTTTCTGTGTGGCTGTGTTAACTTTAATTTTCTTTTACTATGTCTAGATTAATAAGTGATGGATTGTTTTGTGCATGTGTACTGCTTTCATTAGTATTGACTGTCTGCTAATCTTGGTGACATCTGCAGATTTTACCAACAGTGATTCCATGTTTGCTTCCAGATCGTCAGTAAAAATGCTGGACGATGTCAAGGTCTAATTCTAATCCTTCTGGGATTCAAAGAGAAATAACATTATTCAGTTGTGATTCCCTGTTTGTACCTTCTTTTTGGAAACAGAAAGCTGAGATCATCTGGTAGATTTCTAATTTATTTAACATGTATTTATTGTATTATATGCTCCTTTTGTTTTGATCAGAAAGTCATGTGGCACTAAGTGTAATGGTTGTCAACAAGTATTTCTTCAGTTTTCTACAAGAACAAGCTTTAATACTTTTTAGATAAGGGTAAGATTCCAAAAACTGTACAAAAAACTGTAAAATTGTGTTTTAAAGTGTGTTTAAGGGCAAGCAGAACAATTGAAATGTATTCAAAGTAAATAACCTCTCAAGTTTGTCTTACGTGTTTTCAATTTGTTGGTCTGCGGGGGATTAGTTAAGAATGATTGTTGTGCAAGATTCTTTATTTTTAAACATCAAAGAAAAATTTGTACTTTTTTCTGCAAGATGTGATCCTTAATATTAGTTATGAAGGTGTCTAGTGTGTGCATTATCTGTTGTGTTGCATTTCTTCCAGCTGGTAATTGAAAAAAATCCCTTCAATAAGTTCATTAACTACTGATGAAAAAAACCATGTCTGAGATGTAGAAGTTTGCTTATGAAGTTGCATTCACAGTTTTATAGTGGGATATGTAAATATTCAGTTTTTTACAGAAGCAGTTCCCTGAGCAGATTTCCAGGCCACAGCACAGGTGTGTTAACTGTCAGCACCAGCATTTGCTGTCTAAATCCTGAGATAAGATCAGGGTAAGGATTCATCAGAGATATTGAACTGTGGCTGTATAAAGCCTTTGCAGACAAATAGCACAGAGCCTTCAGCTCCCAGGTTCTGGCTCACTGCTAATACAGAACATGTCT